CTCAATTTTAACTAATAATCACATTGTACACAGGCACGACATACATAAAATGCTACATATTTATGATCAGTGAAATCCATCTTTTTTAATACTGTTCCAGTGAATTTTTGTGGCCTCCTCCTTTTGGATCTAGTTGATAAAGAACTCATTTTAGAAGTTGAAGAGATGAATTTTCCGTATTCTATTTGCTCACTCGGGCCTTTATTATATATTTTCAAATGTATATCCAAGGTCGAGACCACTATGTAAGAAGCAACATGTTCTTCTAGGATCAGTGATTTAAACAGGGTAAAATCAAGGCCATGCCCTATTTGTTCAAGCCCTTGAAGTAAGCTATTTACTTCATCCATACTTTGGCATTTTTCTCACTGCTTTATTGCTTAGACAAATGAGCTCCAAAATTCTCTGATTACATATCTTAATAATAAAAATGTTTGAGAAAACTTTACAGGGGGTATTGCATATTTATTGTACTTATAATTTTTTATATGAACTAGTGTGGTATTATATTACATATATTTACAAAAGATACACAAAAAGTAGTGATTACTAAAGGGTGAAATAAAGCATAAATAGAAATCAGATTTCTTGTACTGTCTTCCTAATGCCCATCTTCCATGCACTCTGCTGATACACTCTCCACCGCAATTTTGGAAAATACTAGTATAAAGTGAACTCATCACTGAACAAGGTATAACAGATGAGGACCAAACATCGTAACAAGCAAATTAATCTTCCTGCACCACCTCAAACAAGTGTACTTGAGCATGTATTCGAAGTTTCCAATTCAAAGTGTTTGTCTTTAATTTGGTCTATGTATTCATTGTCTACACATAGATCATAATGGGTGTTTGCAAAAATGCAGCTTAATAAAAACACTTTGAAGGAGTCATATATCAAAGTTCATATTATAGGGATATTGCTCTTATTAAACTTTGTGGCATCAAAATTAAATTACTGATACATAATCTTTAAAAAATATCTTTTATTAAGGGTTTGTGTGTGAGGAGGTCTGCATTAGGAAATTTCATCAACCTTTATTTCAACTTCCCACCTAAAGAGATTTCTCTTTGTTTTCTTAAACATTAAGGCTGTTAAATAATAATAACATTGGCTTATATTTACAATCATTTGCTTTTACTTAATTCTCACAAACAGCCCAAGGAGGTAGGGTCAGTTATAATTTTCATTTCATAGATGAGGAAATTGTGGCACAAAGAGTTTAAGGTCACAGTTAGTTGTTATCTTTTGCACAAATTCTTAAAGATACCTAATTTCCAATGTAAAGTTATTTCAGGGAGATTGCTGCAATATCAAATTAGAAATGGGATTTTGTTTTATAGAGCTTAAGTGTTAAATATATTTTATCCTAATTATTTGAAAACTACTCTGCAGGCCAGCTTACTTTCAGATAATCTGAGCAATCAGAATGCTCCACTGATTGATAAACCAGATGTCAGAATAAACAGCGTATCAACTTCTGGTTTTTTTCACATTGTGGTCTCATATGAGCTATTACCTAGCTTTATTTATTAACCTTTTTTTTATGATTCTTTATCATGCTTCAATTTATGATCTAGCATTTGGAGGAAGTAGTTTCCTTTTTGCAGGGAGTATTCCTAGCATTTGGAGGAAGTAGTCTCCTTTTTGCAGGGAGTATTCCACTTATTGCAACTCCTTCAGTTCTCTATCCACTAAACACCGCATTTGGAGGAAGTAGTTTCCTTTTTGCAGGGAGTATTCCACTTATTGCAACTCCTTCAGTTCTCTATCCACTAAACACCAGTAATGCCTTTCCCCAGTGATAATTTCCAATGCTCCCTAAGAGGGAAGGTACCACCGAAGTTGAAAACCACTGCACTAAGGAGAGACTCAAGATCACTAACAAACTGGAAACTAAAGTATTCAGGTTATAGAAAAGCTTGCGTGAAATAACACATTTTATACCTCAAACTTTTAATGGCTAGAGGAATACTCTCTTTACATATAAAATTTATTTTATATTAACAAATACTTTCTCTACTGAATGTAACTAAAAACAAAATACTCATGGAAATTCACATGTCTCCTGCTACAGATTTTCGATGTTGTTTATTCTTTACCTACAATATAATTAACAAATTCTACAATTAATTTTTACAAAAAACAGAGAGAGTAAGCAATTGGGAAAACCAGACTAAAATTATTTCATATCAAATCACAAACCTTAATTTCTTTTGTATTAAGATACAAGGGAATCATAATAAAGAAGAATTTTAGTTTTTCCTGATTAAATTGTGAAAACTAACAGCTCTGTTGACATGACAGACCTTAAGGAGAAAAATGATAAGGCATTATTATCACATAATGTGATATCTCAACTAAATGTATTTATGTACACCAGTTTTTGTTTTGTTTTGTTGTTTCCCAGCTGTAAAAAATGACAGGTCCTTAAGGAAGGAGTGCCACAATAAATGAAAGACCTTTTTACCCATGGTAAAGAAACCAAACACAGCCATTATGAATGATGCAGCAAGTTTAGGAAAATGAAAGCTGCTATTAAATATGACAGGTTGTCACAATAACAAAAACAGTAATCAATGTAATCATAGCAATAAAATAATATTCATATTTAGTTTCTTTCAAAGGAGTTAAAATAATGGGCATCTTTTCTAAGTTAACAGTTTTTTTTTTTTTTTTTCCTTTTTGTCTTTTTTCGTGTCCGGCAACGGACCACAACCCTCAGTGTCGCGCCCGTACCTGACCGGGACCGGCAACGGGATCACAACCCTCGGTGCTGCACCCGCCCCTCACTCAGCCAGTGAGCGGGAACCGGTCTGTATGTATGTGGGATCCGAACCCTCGGCGGGAGCGCCGCCGCACTCTCAAGCGGCGCACTGTAGCAGTGCGCCACCGGGCTGGCCCCTAAGTTAACAGTTTTGAATAATGTTGACAAAAACAGCAAAAAATCTCCAAATGTGTAGCATATTAGCATTATTTAAAGTAGCTGCTCTACATTTTTGTTTTTCTTCAAATTTCCTTTAAGATAATTTTATTTATATCCTTTTTTTCCCCCTGTGCATGACTATGCTGTTCTTTTTCTTTATGACCTAATATTCTTGAACCAGGCTTCCTCTTACTTAGCTTCAATAAATCCATAATCAGCTAAAATTGCATTATTTTAGTTTTTCCACAGCATATAATGAAATCTGCATTTCTTGTAATTATTTTCCCCATTGTAATAATACCATTTCCTTTGTAACTTAAATAAGAATGCTGTATAAATATATGATGAAATTACGTCCACCTGGAATTCAGTGAAGTGCTTTGTTGTGTTTTCCCAGACAGTGATGAAGCATTGCAATGTGGAAAATGCCTGTGTGGGAAACATTGCACAAAAGCACATATTAACTTTGTGTATAATGATAAATATATCATGCAACCACAAAGGAGAAAGTAGTTTCACTGTTCCTTGGAAGTCAATTCAGAGCACTTCCTGGCCTACCACTTTGCATTTTTGCCACATCTCTTAATGTTTAAAAGACTGCACCTCTGCCTGCCCCGACCATTATACTAAGGTCCCATAAAATCAATGACAAAACTAGTTTATCCACCGTAAGTGACCTTCTTTCTGTGCTTTATTTAATCCAATGCACAATGTATGGGCCTTACCTATTCAAATACTCATCATAACTTTGCTCTTTCATGAACACATCTCTGAAGATATAAGAGATGCTGGCTTTCTTTACCAACAACTTTTCTCCACAGAAGCAAGATATATGAAGTACTTTATACCACGTCCCTTTAATTTTGACCCAAGTTCAAAGAAGCCTCAAATTTTAACTTATTTTTGGTTGAAAATTTGAGTTAAGAAACAGAATGAATTCTCTTTACTAACACAGGACTTGCTAAATCTGAGTTCTGGAGGAGAGACACCAGGACTGAAGATGTGAAGCTAATGGGAATTTCAGAGGTCCCGAATGAAATACATTCCTTACAACCAACATTGTAACTTGCTTTTAGGGTACTACTGTGATTTTGCCTTAGGTTGGCCATATCAATGACCAGTGCTGCCCATTCACTAGTTAAATTTTCTTTTGAGTGATTTTAGTATCTTTCAAGTCATTGAGACACCAAAGTGTAATGTTAGCATTCCAAAGTGTAGGATTTCATATTCAGCGGATAGCAGTCTCCCAAATAGAAAGTGGTTCATTATTTCTTTTTCTTCTATAGTGGAAAGGGTCTGTCCTGGTTGTCTGCCAACTATGTGACATTGTTTTCCCTCTGCAGACCTCAGTTTATTCATCTATAAAATGAAGGTTTTTGGCTGGATGACCTCTAAAGTGTTTTTCTAATTTGATATTCTTTTATTCTGTGATTCATTATATTATTTTATGGATAAATTTTCAAGCAGTTTACTTTTTTCTGGCTTCAGGATAGACTTCTTAAAAATGAAAAAGCATATGGTTCTACCTTTGCAAACTCTCGTGTCTTGTCCTTAATAGAAATGTGTACATTGATTTTCTTATTCTTGTTTTGAAAACATACGTAATTACTGTACAGTATAAAAGTTCTCCTCATTTTAGTCACTAATACTGATACATGTAAAGTAAAGCACTGCTCCTTTTGGTGCAGCACATATCTCAGATCCCATTGTGGCTATTTTCTGCATGTCTGTAACTCATGTGGGCATGAATTCTGCAAATAAATGACATCAATAGCTGGTGTTTATATCCACTTTGTCATTCCATAGCACCACTTTGTGTTCTAAATGTAGTTTTGGAATTATATTTTAGCATTCTGATGCTTCTAAACCCTCTTTGATTGTAACTGATTGATTTTCAAGAAACTAGGTTGATTTTATAAATTTAAGAGTAAAAATGCATCCCATTCCTTTACTTTCATAACATCCTTTTGAGGTTTGATGTCTTCATTGATTTTAGGTTTTTATTGCAAGAAAATGATCAACGGCTTTTCTATAAAGAAGACTTTGATTAATGTCAATTTTTATCTTTTAAAAGGATCCTTCCCGGCCATTGGGGTGGAGGCGTTTTGCCCCAGCTTCCTGAGGGCGGGGTTTTTAAATAGCATCCAGGCCCCGCATCCAGTGCCAGGGGGAGGATCTTTGCCCCCCAGGATTCCTGCTGGTAGGTATTGCAGGTGAAGTTTTTTGCCACCATATACAGCAGTAAGACTATGCTCACAGTTGATAGACCCACAATACAAAAATGAATATTTCTAAAATGTATTGTTGAAAAGAAATGCAAGTAAATTTTTTAAATGCAGGAACCACATTTATGATACCTAATGCTATGACGAGAGCGTAAAGGAGGTGGAAGAAGAATCTGGACCCTGACCACCCAATTAGTATAGTGCTGCCTCTTCTTCTGAGAAAATTTTTCCATAAGTAAGAGCTAGAGCTTCAGATCCCAAATCTGTAACTTAAGAACAAAACAAGAATGGATTTAAGTTACTTTGCCACTTGAAATTGGCCAGAAAAGAGAATTAAAAACTAAGTGTTCTTGACAGAAAGAGTAATTCCACATTTGGGTGAGTTTATAGAGATTTAATTAAAGGGTCCATTTCACTAAAAAAAAAAAAAATGATTTGGAGAAAAGCCAGAAAATAGCAAACTCGGTAGAAATTTTTGAGAAAGAAAATTAATGCACAGTCATCCCCCAAAATACCAATCTGACCAAAGCCATATTTTTATCAATGAGAGAAACAAGGTATAAGATATTGGGCAGTTTAAAATGCACTTTCAAAGTTTAGCGAAACACTTTGTGGATTTTCCACGGTATGATTGTAATCACAAATTGTTTCTTCCCTATCATTTAGTAAAATATCCAGCTACCTTCTTCAAATGTACCTGAAGGTTGCAAACCACTTTATATTTTATATGTGTCTTAGCAAAATTTGTAGAATCAGAATATTCTATTCTGAAGTTTTTTAATGATAATTCTTGTGTTTTTTATTGTAATTAATAATAATGCTACAAATTATGGCAATGACATCAATATATTCATGAGGACTGGCTCAGACAGGAATGTAATCAGAACGTTTGAAAGGACTGGGAAATCCAATGAAAACAAAATCCCAACATGCACATTTCTTGCTTTTCTTAGGATAATTATACCAACAAAGCCTAAGATTACACTGATATTTTTCTTTTGCCTTTTAAATACCCCCGTCTACTTAATGAAAACATATAAGGATCAACATATTAAAAATATGCTTCAATGTCATTTGTTTTTATCATTGTACAATTTACTAATGTGGTCAGAGACTTTGCAGCCAACAATGCCACTGACAGATTAGGAAACAAAATTATGGAAATTAAAATGTTGGCAATTTTTCAACATATTAAAAATATGCTTCAATGTCATTTGTTTTTATCATTGTACAATTTACTAATGTGGTCAGAGACTTTGCGGCCAACAATGCCACTGACAGATTAGGAAACAAAATTATGGAAATTAAAATGTTGGCAATTTTAATTCTAATGGGTGTTATGACACCTTTTTTTCTTCCTGGAAACAATAAACAGTATCAATCGCGTAGGAATGTTGTTGCAAAGGATTGAAAAGAAATATCTGTATAAATTGAGCTCTTGGAGTTAACTGAAAATATAAAAGTGTAGTTTTCATATAAATAATTAACATCTCAGTGTCTGGAACTGAGATGATGAACAGGTGATTAGTAGTTTAATGGCTCAACCTTTAATCTTAATGACAATTTTTGGTGAATTTAGTTATGTTATGCAGAAATGACATTATGAAGTTTAGCAGTGATTTGGATTATTCACCATCACTGTTAAATAAATAAATAACCCTTGTCATTTAGCCACTGAGAATGATAAAAACAAGACGATCTTTCTACAACACAAACACAGAAACAACTTTCCAGACAGGGACTAAGAGAACACGCTAGCACTCTGTTCTCCTAGGCTTTAAGCCAAATTTGCTGCCAGCTTTCATAGGAGAGAAAACTCAGTTCAGTTTTTATGACTTCACATACAAATCAGGTGTAAAAAAATTGCTTCATAAAAAATTTATAGATCTAAACTTGTTCCTGTTCCCTCAAACTAAAATTAACTGAACTGTCTTTTTCTGGCTGATATTACTTTGATAAGTGATCCCTGTACACTTTGTCTGATACTTTTCAGTAATGACTCCTACAATTTCAAAGGTGATTTTTATCCTCTCCCATTCAACTATAGCTTTTTTCCCCAAGAATTCCCTTTATAATTTTGTATAAAGAGAAGTAAAGCAATAATCATAAGAAGTTTTTCGATCCGTTGCCGGACACAGAAAAAGACAAAAGACAAAAAAAAAAAAAAAGGCCTTTCATATAGTAGTCACCTGATGAAGTAAGAAAATCACAGAAGAGAAAAGGAGAGGGCAGAGCAGTAGAGGAGAGGAGAGGAAAGGGGAAAAGAGGGGGGAGGAAGGGGGAAGAAGAGGTAAAGATGGGGAAGGGGAGGAGAAATTAGATGACATAACTCTGAGGTTATATTTTTTAAAGCAAAATCTTCCCCCACTATATTCCTTCCTATTAAAATCAAATTCTACTTCCTTAAAAAGAATGTGTCCCTGTTTTAAAGATGTTAATCAGGCATATACTCTAAGGTAATAAACTTACTCTCTTTGCTCCATCTAGTTATTCCTTTTATTTTTTTAGTTTTATTTTTTTAATTGACTCCTAGTAATTGTACATATTTATGTGGAACATGTGACGTTTTGATACATGTGTACATTGGGTAATGATCAAATCAGGGTAATTAGCATATTCATCACCATTTAATTCTGTGGTCAAACAGTATTTGAAAGTGGTTTAGAACATTCTTATATGCTGTAAAGTATTGATTATATAGAGAGTCTTAGACTGGTGGCTCATCTTATGACAAACTCTGCCTCTACCCAAATCCTGTATATTTTTGACAGTTTCATATGCTCGTCATACACAAATGAAGGCAGAATAATAAAGACATTGAGAAATAAAATTATGCAATAACAGCGATAAAGTAATATGTGGAAGTTTTGTTGATTCAGTTTTCTCTTTCAGTTCACAACAATAACTATCTGACATCATGTGGTATCTTAAATTTATATAAAATCCAACCATTACGATGTATCTTAAAACCTAGATCTACTTACAAAACATAAAGACATATTCATTATCTGATAATTATTCAGGAAATATCATCTTAGGACTGTGTTTTATGATTGGATCAACAAAATTTTAGCTTTCATTTTTCTGTCAGTTGTGGGAGAATTGATAATATTTTTCACTAGTGAAGTAACTCATATATACAGATTAAAGACCAAACTCAAATGTATGCTTTAAACTAACAATCTTTGTCAATTATAAGTGAAATCTATGAAAGAGAGAACATAGGAAAAAGGTAAATATGTGGACTTTAGAAACAGATAACTTCTAGAAAAAATTCAGCATTGCCAATCTCCCTAATACTTCTTTTGTGGTTAATCTTGGAAGCTCTTTAGTTGTTGAGAGAATGTTCTTCTGAATCACCATTTCAGTTTGCCCATCTGTGCTTTAAATACAATGCTGTGTAAACAATACCTCTTTTGATAGCTTTACCTAAGCTTCTTTTCATTGTATGACTTGTGTTAGGTTCAAAGGAAATGGCAAAGATGGAGTGAGTCCCTTTCTGCTTACTGTGAATGAAACAACAGGAGAAATACGGACACGTGGAGATTCAAAAACCATATTTGTAATTACTGAGTATATAATTAATAATAATTTTTAATATTGCTCACTTATTTACCCTTCAGAAAGAGATTTGGATGAGCTTTATACTCAAAGAGTTAAACCTTATCATATCTTCACCACTGTGCCCTGACTAGTCAAGTTGGGAGGTGGATTCACAATCCAGTTTTTTATAAACCAATAACATATCCATCCATACCATTTTTATAGCAAAAGACTTGCAATCCCGAGCCAATATTAAAATGTCTTTACTATCCTCTAATAATGATTATCAAAATTTTCCTTTCCATATTTCATGTAAAATCCTATCTGATATGGAGTAAAGGCAAATATTGAATGTACTATTATCCAGTCAAAAAAAATTTTTTTTATTCAGAAAACATATGGTTTACACATTAAAAATGAGCCAGGAATGGTAAATAAGGTTGAAGGTATAGAAAATCTAGGATCTGGTGAATATACTATTATCAGGTTTTGATGTATATAGAGGACATTAGGAAAGCTATTACACAAATGTATAAGGCTAGGTGGCAGACTTTGAAGGAATTTCAAATGAGTTAAAGAAAATTGGTATAAACTCAATATGCCAAAGGAAATCAACAGTGGAAATGTGTAAATATTTTAAGTACACTCAAACTGAAGTTCAGAAAAATCAAAGTAAATCATTTCATTATTTCATATTTTGAGACATTCTAAAAAATAGTAACTTTGATAAGATCAACAATTTGACATTTTGAAATTAATCACTTATGACAAAACAATTCATATTGGCTCTAGTTCTTCCTATGATGATGATTCTTTGGATGTTTTTCTGTAGCATATATAATTTGACTTATTTTATCTTTAACAAAATATTGTATAAGTATACATAACTTAAGATACAGTGGTTTACTTTTTAAATAAGAACTCTCAGGGGGGAAAAGCCTCTTCTTTAATTGAAGAGTATATATTTTATACATTTCTGAAGTTGAGAAAGTTGCCAGTTACCCTGGATGAGGTATCTGTGAGTCAGTGTTTGTGTGTACCTACTTAAACCAAAAGCTAATTAAAAAGGGGAATCGGAAAAACTAAATTAGATCTGCCAAGTAAAATCCTAGATAGGGCCGGCCCGGTGGTGCACTGCTATAGTGCACCGCTTGGGAAGTGTGGCGGCGCGCTCCCGCCGAGGGTTTGGATCCCACATACAGACCGGTTCCCGCTCACTGGCTGAGCGAGGCGCGGGAGCAACACCGAGGGCTGCGATCCCGTTGCCGGTCCCGGTCCGGTCCGGTACGGGGCGACACTGAGGGTTGCGATCCGTTGCCGGACACGGAAAAAGACAAAAAAAAAAAAAAAAATCCTAGATAAATCGTTCAAATTTAAACTACAAAGAAAGTCCTTCATCTGGATTACCAACTCCCAGTTTCTTTATTCCTTG